CCCAGAGAGTGCAAGAAGATGCTAGAAGTCATCCACAGCAATGTCTGTGGTCCTATGCAAACAGCTTCGCTCGGTGGAAGCAGATACTTTGTCACGTTCAATGACGAGTATTCACACTTTAGTGTGGTGTTCTTGCTTAAGAACAAGTCTGAAGTGGCTTCTAGTTTGCCGAATTCGTCGTATTTGCAGAGACTCAGACAGGAAACCGGGTCAAGCTACTTCGCAGTGGCAACGGCGGAGATTACAAGTCGCATGAGATGACCAAGCTGTGCAGCAGTCGTGGCATTGTACAAAAGTTCACGCCTCCTTACACACCTCAACTCAACGGAGTGGCAGAACGGATGAACAGGACATTGGTGGAATGCGCTCGCTGCATGTTGGATCATGCCGGACTGTCTAAGGAATATTGGGGTGAAGCGGTTGTAACCGCTACATTTCTTCGAAACCGATGTCCAACACGTGCCACAAGTCAAGACAAGTCGCCACATCAAATCTGGACCGGCAAGAAACCGCTGTTTTCAAATCTGAAGGTGTTCGGTTGTCACGCATACGTGACGGTCCCGAAGCAAAAGCGCATCAAGTTTGATGCGCAGTCAGTCTATTGCCGCTTCATAGGATACTCTGAACACGAGAAAGCGTATCGCTTTGAAGAGATCAAGAGCCGTCGTGTTCTAGTGAGTCGCGACGAAAATTCATGGAAGACGTCTTCGACAGTGGGAGACGCACCGAAAGAGACGCAGAAGGTGTCTTTGAAAGTCAAGAAGATGAGAGTACAGGTCATGAATGTCCTTCCGTACCAATTCAGCCTGACGAAGAAGACGCTGCGCAAGACCAAGATACGGAGCCCGGCAGTAAGCGCCACACGCGAACCCCTTCGTTGGAACAAGCTGTGGAGATTCCGGTTCCCAAGCGGCAGAGTCAAAGAATTTTGCTCAAAAACATGTCGGCGGTGGCACAAGTCGAGGACGACTTTGAGACAGCCTACCTTGTGGATTCAGTGGGAGATATACCGAAAACGTTTAAGTCGGCGATGGAATCCAACAACGCGGTCAAGTGGAAGGAAGCGTGCGACTCCGAAATCGACTCCCTCCGCAAGAACAAGACATGGCAGTTGGTGCAATTACCTAAGGGTCGGAAAACTATCGGACGCAGATGGGTGTTCCGCGTCAGAGAGAATAGCAATTCAGTCAGGTCGCCACAATACCCAGGCTTGAAGTTGACCAAGGCCATGTGCGAAGGAGGTTGCAAGCATGAAGAAACTATGGCAAATTTTCCCTACCGGAACGCCTTAGGATGCCTCATTTACCTTATGGTTGGCACCCGTCCCGACCTTGCAGCTGCAGTGGGATTGCTCATCCAGTTTGCCTCCGATCCGTGTCCAACACACTGGCAAGCACTCAAGAGGAGTTTTCGGTATGTAAATGGTACCAGGACACACGGAATTGAGTTTCAAGCAAGTGAAGACGACAGCCTTCAAGTCTACTCGGATGCAGACTGGGCCGGCGACATAGATTCAAGGCGCAGTACAAGTGGATACACCTTCATCATGAACAACAGTTGCATCAGCTGGAGGAGCAAGAAGCAACGAACGGTGGCACTATCATCACGGAAGCAGAGTCCATGGCGCTATCGGAGGCTACACAATAATCAGTTTGGTTGAGGGTGTTCCTGTGCGAACTTGGTGAGATGACAAGTAACCAAGCTGTCAAGATCTCCGAGGATAACCAAGGATCAATTGCATTGGCCAGAATTTCACAAACGCACCAAGCACATCGACATTCGCTACCATTTTGTTCGTGAAAAGGTTGCTGAAGGACAAGTGGTGCTAGAATACTGCCCAACCAAGGACATGAAGGCCGATATAATGACCAAGCCGATCACCATCGTACAGTTCCAGAAACTTCGGACCATGTTGGGCATCAAGGCGCCACGACCTGCCGAGGCGAGTGGGAGTGTTGTAAAAGAGACGTCTCGGAATGATGTGACAGAAATGTGTTCTGTAGCTTAGCCGGTTTGGTATGGCAGTACCATCCCAAAGGTCACTGGTTCGATACCGGTGGGGGCGTACAAACAACAAATTAAGCCTTTGGGATCTGGTGTTTGGGGTTCACCAGCACCGTACTGCCAGACAGTGACGTCCCCCATTTTCGGTACGTTTGGGTGTTCAGAAACGCACGACCAGAATTAGAAACGTACGACTAGACGATTAGTAATGCGCGACTAGACGATTAGTAATGCGCGACGTGGCGATTACTAATGCGCGATGTAGCGATTAGGAACGTGTAGTCAAAGAATCCTGTAGGCTTAGAGTAGCAACAGAGTTTGAAAACTAAGGACCTAAATAGATTCACTTTGCATTTCACCATCTAGTGCTCGACTGCCTTAGCCTTTACTATTCGGGGATATCACGGCTATTGATTTATACCCAATTGTGTATACGTTGGGGTAATTGATTCCTTAACGAGTTAAATTGCCGGCGGCGGATCAAGCATGGTAATGGTGATTCCCTAATCGAACTTTTGTACATACGTCCCTGTGTGGAGCTGATAAAACGAGAACCAGTTGCCAAACAGAAGTGAAAACCATCGAAATAGACATTTTACAAAGTCCAGGAGTGACAACATCGTTGTAGCGAACATCCGACTGCTTATATTGCATTAAACGTAAGAATTGTGACTGACCTGTCTGCGCTAAGGGAGTGAGCACGTATAGCATCGAGGGGGGGTTACTGCTTTTAACATGGACGCATCACTTCAAGGTTCTTTAAGGAAAACGATTGTTGGAACACTCAAAGAGTGGCGACCCCACGTTCATGAGACATTTGGCTTATAAACTCTTCTAACACTTTATCTGGCAACAATGTTCGAGCAAAGATTCAGACTCGAATTCAGCTGAACGCATTTTGTTGCAGCAAGGAGTAAATCGGATACATTTTGCTGTATACACGCTTTACTGCGTCTGCAGCCTTTCAAGACACACCATATGTCACATCAGTCATAAAACTTGGTGTTGTTAGAGTGCGGGAATTGATTGTAGATCCCAGGCGACGTTTTAGTTAGACTGATCGCATACATCATCAGTATGGCATTAAAGTTGATAGTGTTGACTCGTGGAGGTATTGCAAGTATTCGTGTTCACGATGATGTCAAGTAACCCCCTGACTTTAATTGTAACAGGGTTACAGGGCGGTTAGTGAACCGGTTATGTTGTGTGTCCGCACCAAGTAAAGATCGGTGGATCGGACTGGTACAGTATTGGCACCATGTACTTACGGTAATGCCGCGCTTTATCGGTTAGGCGTAAGAGATGAGATTTCTGTCACAGGATCGCGATGTAGAAGTCAGTCGGACAAGCTTTTAGGTTTTCATTACCGTATTTAAAGAATGAATAAAGTCCAGTTCCCCTTATGAATAGTTGGACACATATGACTAGTAAAGGCATCGTGTTGTGAAGAGTAATAAATTTGTAAAGGCGTTTACTCTTGTTTAACTAGTAGTCTCTAGTTAGTGTGTGATTCTGTGAATCGTAATCCCTTCGCAACCGGTACTATTAAGCTTGTACGCTTGAACGACTGTACGTCGTTGTTAGCTTGTAATATCTAAGAGAATCTTTGAGTCTATGAAGTAGCTAAGATAATTAGCCTTCCTTTAGCGGAGCTACTTACCGTTTCTTAGTAGAGGAAGTCTTAGGCTTAAAGATTCTCTTAGATACCACAAACTTACAACGACGTACAGTCGTTCAAGCGTACAAGCTTAATAGTACCGGTTGCGAAGGGATTACGATTCACATAATCACACACTAACTAGAGACTACTAGTTAAACAAGAGTAAACGCCTTTACAATTTTATTACTCTTCACAACACGACGCCTTTACTAGGCACCTGTGTCCAACTATTCATAAGAGGAACTGGACTTTATTCATTCTTTAAATACGGTAATGAAAACCTAAAAGCTTGTCCGACTGACTTCTACATCGCGATCCTGTGACAGAAATCTCATCTCTTACGCCCAACCGATAAAGTGCGGCATTACCGTAAGTACACGGTACCAATACTGTACCATTCCGATCCACCGATCTTTACTTGGTGCGGACACACAACATAACCGGTTCACTCACCGCCGTGTGAACCTGTAACACCATCCTCCACCAAACGGTTGACACTCTTGTGCCGACAATTCTTCAACTGCTCTTTGAGTTCTGCAAGCTCTGGTCCTGACCATCGTGCTCACAAAGCGTCTCAAAATGACTGAGTCAAAGCCTTCGTCCAACACCCCTGACGAATTTCTCGTAGAGGGAATGGTATGCTACTAGAGCAACAACGTCGCGTCGAGTGTCTATGAACTGCCTCCAGCTACGCCACCGGCGCGTGACACCACGCGCGTCACGACTAATCCATTCGTGGAACGCGAGGAGGTACCTTCACCCCTTGTACAGCGTGCATTCGTCGAGTCTGCGTTGGGTGTGTTGCACAATACTCTTCATGAAGATCAAGCTCAATACCTTCAGTCGGTCGATGACCGCAGGCGTCAAGCACAATGTGTAGTCAAAGCGTATGCTCACAGTGGTTACCGCTTCACACGAACGAGTGTGGATGAACGCATTCGTCAGACTGCCGGGAAGTCACTCGCAACATGGATCACGGGACCTAAGGATGCCACCGCCACAACACTAGCGGCGAGGGAGGCAATCAGATCGAGATATATGGAGGTCGAGTATATGACTGACCGTTCAAGATTACCTCGACATGCTGAATCAGCGAGCATGAGGTGCGTGTTGTTCGCCATTCGGAAAATGGTTTTCGTCCTCTTCCCTGGTGAGACAAAGGCGGAAAATGATGTCGTCTTCACGTGTTAAGCTTACAGAGCTCGTCATCTACCACGCCTGTGAAATCTTCAAGAGAGCGCTTCACTTGCTGACGTTCGGCTCAAACGAAAGCCGCGCTTTGATTTCGCAAAACAAAAGTCCAACGACCAAATGCAATAGTTCTATCGCGCTCTCTATGCTGCAGCAGCTACGAACCCGCACACCAGTGCACCTGCTGCAGCTGCAGTCCCATCCATTCCCGCACCGATTCGTGGGAAGCGGCATGGGTCGACTGACCCTGAAGACGACGTTCAAAACGTCAGCGGCGTACGTACAATCTTGCCGCAGTGGCTTCGGACTCCCATGAGTTCTCCGAATCAGGGTACCTCCGCCACTGTACCAGGTACTGGTACGGACCGTCGTGACGACGTTGATGCAGGATTATATTAACATGGTATTGTTGACCCTCTTGCTCGTCAACGAGAGCAGGCGGTGGTCGAAGAATCTTGACGCATCATCGACGAGTTAGTGCACGAGGTGCATGGTTTTCGTGACTGCGTGGCGCGTATTGAAGGACAAGTGGATCTTCTCTTGAGGGTTCCTCGACTTATGGCAGCGCCAACTCCGTTGGCGCCAGCGCCTCGTGATCCACCAGCGAAGGATCTAGACGAGGCTTAAGAAAGCTAAAGTAAACACTGGGTATGTTCGCATCTTGCGTGGAAGGATGAGCGTATACGCTAGGCCCTTCTTGGCCACAACCGTAAACGTCCCAATGACGCGAGGATGCAACTTGGTCCTATAGACCGCTGGCACCACTTTGGTAGGTAGATTGTTAAAGTTAAGTATTTATGGGTCTCCGACTTCATAACTCTCAATACACTTTCTGCCTTTGGCATCAGCTTGTTCCTTCTGTTTGTACTGACTATCAGCCACTGAGTCACGTACATGTTGCAAGACATTCAATCGCGTATCGAGAAACTCGCTTACCCCTTTCCAAATGGTAGTTAAGCTGACATCAGCCAGCAAATTAGTTACTCCTACCCCATCAAGCTTAGGTAACTATAGTTGGGAGCTGGCCTTCCCCAAAAATCTAGGATCCCTCGTCAACATCCTTTCCCCACAACGTTGCGTTACATGCATTCATCCCTTGGTAGCCTGAACTACAGTCGATGTGTAGAGGATTTTGCAATTTACATATCGGTGTTGTAGGAGATACAAGAGGCGCATTTTTCGATGTTAGTCATCTGGACGATCGGGAGGCAATGACAAGAGGTCGCGATCGCACCCTTCGAGGAGATGATCTTAGTCTAAATAAACATTCTCGGTGGAAAGAAGCTGCTATCGCATTCACCCTGTTGAAGGGTAAGATTGCTAACATTTCGATCCTCAAGCACCTCGATCCAGATCGACTTCCAGTTATCATGGTGTGCATGCTTGTAAGTGGGCAGTATCGGTATCCCTTTTGTAGGAATATGATGGCTCATATCGGCCGGTGAGATTCACGAGTTTCACACTAAAGCCCGACGATATCAATAATGACATGGTCGAGAAAGAATTATTAGCCCTACTTCCAATGTTGGAGGTATGTAAGACTATGCTAGTATCCCGAGAGATCAGGGTAATGACTCGATATTCGACATTAGCCTGGTTTGTATAATCGCCTGACCTCAACGGGACACTAGGAAGATGGGCCGCGCTACTATCGAATCGAAAACTAAGGATCATTAGATGCGAAAATGGGAAAGATGAGATATTCGGCGCACTCGCAGCCAGCATAACGCCTCGAGAAGAGGTAGATGATATGTTGATTTCTACCGCTCTACAGAAGCAGCCTAAACAATTGGGTACCATGCCACTCCCCAAGGTAGAACCGGATGAAAGCCTCTTGGTTGTTAGTTCCGACGAATCGGCGCCAACAAAACGAAAGAGTGGGCCAGATAGAGCAATTATACAAAAACAATTAGAATGGACGATTATTGTGGCCGCTTCGGAATACGCAGTGGATCTGATGGTGAATGCAGCCGAATATCGCGGCGTCTTTATGAATTTCTATCTGCTACATTGTCCGATTAGGGGACGAGTCATTATACGTGGTAATTCGAACTTTGTGATCCGGCAAATGCGGGTTGAGATGGATTGTACAGCACCCGGTTTACAGTTGTTGCATCACAAGGCAAGCAGAAACTTCGATCATGGCCGAAGCACGAGTTCCTACACATAAAGCGATATTAATATCAGAGTGCAGATCGACTAGCCAGCACATCTGTGCAGAATAAAAAGGGAATAACTGTGGTGACTGAAGAAGATTGAAGTCATCTCATTACGTTAACCCGTTAAGGTGAAATGTAACTGCCTAAGCCGAAAGATCCAATTGCACGAATAACCGCGATCACGAGATCGGCCGGAAAGAGACAATGTCAATCCGAAGTGTTACAGGAGGAGATGGTGCAGAAGATGAGGATTCGGCGAAGTGGTCAGGCTCAAAACGAAGAACGTTAAATTGTCCATCTAAAAGAGTATCTGAATGGCTAAGTATCCGGTCTGGACGCAGAAGAAACGAAGATGTGTAAAAAGTTAGCGTCAGAGTATGAGATTGATCGGAACGACGAGTTGTTTGTCGGCCCTATAGCGAAGAGAGAATCAGAATATCGCGATGATTAATGCCTCTGGTGGTCCCAGAGACGTTGCAACAAGATTTTCTGCATTATGTCACGCTAGTATGGAAAGAATATACCAAGGTACTGACAATACATATCAGATGATAAGATCGCGCTTCCATTGCAGAGGATCGTAGGAAGTGTGCAACGATATGTAGGTAACTACACCGATTGCAAAATGGGAAAGGGATGTCCGACGATCCAGGGAATATCGCCGGGTAATCTACAAGCAACTTATCCATTCCAGGATATTGCTATGTACTATACACCATCGCTGTATTTATTCAATAAAGACAACACATGTCTGCTGGTTTGGGCAGATCCTTTACAAGGATACGGGATCACGAAATCTATCTCTTTACACACAGCACAACGATTGCAGAAATCACGAAGGATGTGTGTTTCGGCGTTTAGGCGCCGGTGAGGCGATCAGGCATGATCGAGTGCCTAGATTTATGTCCGACTTGCTCTGAGCTTTCAGTCGGATCGTGGTACTATGACAACGGGCGACAATAGCGTACAGACCACAGGCTAATGGAATGGCCGAACGGATGCTACTAACTCCGACGCGGTCGCTCAAGACGTATGTCGCTGATGTCAACCAACAGGAATGGGATGAGTATGCTGATCGGCGTAAGTTTGCGATTATACTGCAAAAAATCTGATCCGGAGGATGATTCATTCTATCTAATCCATTGTTGAGATCAAAAATGTACGTTGCAGGCTACATTATTAGTAGGTACTTTGGGAACCGAGATCGCGATCCGAAGAGATATAGATATTGAATTCAGACACAATATTAGCGAGCTCGGGCTGTAGTGAATAATAGATTACGAGCTACTTTTCAGATTGGAATAAATTAACATAACGAAGACCTAGGACCACACGAGATCGAAGTAAGTACAAAAGTTTGGCTATACTTAGACCGAGTCAAATAAGGATATGCGAAGAAGCTTGCACAAATGTGGCATGACTCGTTTTGAGTTGCAAATATATGTGGAGATTACGCTGTGAGATTGGAGATTGCAGATACTTCACATTTATCATTTCCATTTTTACATTTGTCGAAGCTGAAGAGAGTAAAGGTGTTCCCTGGGCGGTTAAAAGACAATCTTACGAAGAACTACGCAGATCGCTTGTATTTTGACATGGCTCTGTTACCTGAATATAGTTCGGGGAGCGATCTTGAAGAGGGTAAAAATGAAGTGGAGGGAAGAAATGGACGTTCGGTTCAGTCGGAACCCCGTTATGGGCGAGTGCATCAACAGTTATCAGTGAAGTGGAAAGGTCATCCCGACCTGAGTTCAGTGGATGAGGCCGCTCTAAGTTGTGGAGCTATCTTGCAAGAGTTTGAGCGAAACCGAGTGAGTCGAATCCGTTCCGAGGCGATGCAGTCTCACGAAGACAAGTCAGACGAGCCATAACAGGCTGAGAAGGTATGTTCGGAGGTGGGATATGCTCATAGATGGGGTCGAAATATGTGCTAGGAGGTAGCACATGCGGGTGGATGAGTATGCGTGCAAGGAAGCTGTGCAAGATGTGGAACTGGGGATATATGCGAAGTATGCGGTGATAGCGGATCGAAAAGGTCCAATCGCGGCCAAAAAGCCGAAGAAAAAGTCAATTTTAAGATGAAGAACAAGATGAAGGATCGACGGAGATTACAATGAATCATAAAACTATGGGACTCGAACAATAGAGATCACGCGGGATTGAACTTGCCAGGCAGACGTGCAATCGACGATCCGGGGTAATCGGTGTTAAATAATTGAAAGTGGACACGACAAGGCTCATCTACATCTAGCTGCTGCAGAGCCGATATCAGTAAGGAATGTTCTTCTGTTTGCATACCAAGCCGAAATACCAAATGGTCAGTTCCAGATGGGAGACGAAGTGCAGGAAGAACAGATACAACGGAATGTCCGGATCGCAGTGACCTGCGATCATACCCTGCAAGGTGAATCAAAGGATCTTCTTCCACCAGGGACCAGCTCACGATCGACGTTTTTCGCTAAATCCAAATTGTATCCAGCTCATGGTCGCTGGCCCGCTGTTTGCTGGAAAAGGAGGTTGCATGCGTAAATTTTTTCAAAACGCCTGTGGTTTCGATCCTCGAAACAAAATACAGGGTGAGAGTTGGTCGAACCCTCAAGTACGAGGAATGGAGATTGGTGCGATCCTGCGTGCAGCAGTCTCCCAAGGATCTTGTGCGTATGAGGCCGTGATCTGGGCTAAACACGTCAGCTGAGGTGTCCACTCGGATGTGATAGGAGGGTTCTTGGGCACAAGTACTGTCGGGAAGATATACCATTTAGTGCGAAAGTAGTGGTGGAACAAGATCAACGTCCAACTCCGCCACACTCGTCCTACTGACTCTGCGCGCCGACCAAGAAGAAACGTGAGCCCAAGCCTGTGGTACACGATTTTTTTATTCGGGGATCCACTGGTTACGAGATATATAAGTGGGGAGCAGACCACCGTAATCCGCAAGAGATAAAAACGGGTTTACCGATGCACGAGGCGCATTAGCGAGGCTGATCGGACTGTCCGAATTGCTCGAAGCCTCCCGAAGAGATCCACGCGAAACACTTTTGGCACAGAGGCGCGAGTAGGGCCAGTTGGAGACGGGAAACCGAGCAGAGGAGTGGGAGTATCCACGACAATGAAAGGTTGAGACGGCTTAGCCAAGAAGAGTGATGTCGGACCAGAC